GGGTATTACAAAACTATGTTTAAATTAAATTTCAAGGTTAGTATATCAAAAAACTTTTATGTTGTCTTTGTTCTAAAAATTACCCTAGAGATACTTGTATCAATGGATAAGAAAAAATATTTTTTTAATGTATCCGTAAAAAAAGTACTCTCGTATTCAATAAAAATAACAAACAAACTAAAGTTAAAGTAATAATTAAAAGAAATCATAGAAACTCAAGGACTTAAGAATCTGGAAGTATTACACTAAACTGGAATCCTATCAATACGAAAATAGCAGTATCAACAAGAATCTCTGTCACCGGATGATAAAAAGTTACAGACAAGACATTACAGCAAGGGTCTCTTGTATTGATAGACTCATTGTTGTTGGCGTGACTCTGCTAAAGAGGTATTATTTGCTCATTACTTTAGAACATTCGTAAATAGCTATTGTATCACTTATTAATGTGTCATAGAATTCTTAATGATTCTGAGGATTTTGTAACCTGTCAAATACTTGTATTCTTTTCTACTAAAAATTATATCATTTTACTTTAACTATATTTTTACAAAAAGTGTTTACGAATAATTTACTGATAAATAAATGTTTTATGACGATCATTATAAAAAAAACTTGGTGACCTGATGCTGGATAGTTTTTTCACAATGAAATCGTTAATATATTAATATTTAATACATTGAGTAGTATATTAGGGAAGATTACCATTTGAATTTCCATAGAATCTGTTTGAATCTGTACATTAGCCTAATGTAGAAATTAAAAAGTTACCAATTAAATATCACTTTTTTAGAGAAAAGTGATAATAATTTATTTCATGAACAAATTTCGTAATGGAATTTTAATGAGTAAATTACAGAATAGTAAAGAAAAGTATTTACAATGATTTAATTTAGAACAAGCTTAAGGTTAGCGCGCCAGTTTTTAGGCATAGATCATACTCTGACAGGATGCCCAGGATGATTTATAGACCCAAGTAGCCAGGACCTGCAGGGAATTAGTGTGTTCCCCTGTTGCGTAAATTGTCTTTTTATAGACATACCTAAAACGACTGTGGTTTTCAACTACTTGATCTGACATCATACGTAATTACTTTGTCGTACAATTGTCGAGGACCCTGAAAACGGAAATGACTTTTTTTAAGGAATAGGGGGTAAACGAGCAGACGGATCACCTGATGAAAAGCGACATTGAAAATTGACGTAAAATAATACACTTTTTATTATGAAACAAAAGCTCTCTCTTCGTTAATGACGTAAAGCGCCCCTGGGCCTGGGCCTCAATTCTGCTATTTTATGTTCACTCCATACCGATGCCAATGGCCATTCGATGGCATCTCAATAGCGTGTCAGTGGTATGACAGTGGCTTGGCGTGAACATAAAATAGCAGAATTGAGGCCCTGTACACGTGGGGCGCGTTTGTGTTTTGGTAAAAAACATCATAAGTTGCTGTCGAGTTTGAATCGACGGAAGTCGCCGGCACGACGATATTTTAAGCAATGCGCGTCAGGCATGCGACTCGTAAAGATATAAATAAAATACATATATTATCTCGTATCTGCACTTGGTGTCAGAAATTTAATAACTTTAAAAAGTTATTTATTAGATAGATAGGACGTCATAAAAATATTAAACCTGTTACACGTAGCTAATATGACACCACTTTAACAGCCTCCTTTATAATAATATATAATGATTGCTTAAATAAACTTAACCATTCTAATTTTATAAACTTTAATAAAAAATTTTAGGTAGGTACTAATCGTTAACATTGTTTACTAAAATACCGTTATGAAATTATTAAACCAGCCGCTGTTATTGCTGTGAAACTAGTGTCAACAGCCGTCGTCGTCTGTATGGTAGATGGTAGAGGCACTTCCCTTGTTTGCCATCTTTGTTTATCAGAATCAATAGACCACATTCACAGACAAAAATAGAACACACACACCGGGTGTCTTTATTTTAAGCTCCTCTATGATGCACATTCTGCAAATTGATGCTCACCTGAAAATAGAAATAGTTTATAAATTTTATTTGTATAAATAGGTGCTAAAGAACTTGGTTCTTAAGAACAAGAAGTACAGTCACCCTTAAAATTAAATATACATGAACAAAGTTCCTTTACAATGTGTACATCAAATGTTTTAAAATATTCTAATGAACTATACCGACTGAACATATTATTTACATTAACGTTTACTTTTATTTTTAACCGACTTCAAAAACACAAAAAAGGAGGTTATCAATTCGTCTGTATTTTTTTTATTAACAGTTTCGGGTTTTCCGATAAAACTTATAGTAAAAGCTAGGAAATCAATAGATGTAAACATCGTCACCGACATCGATGCATATTTTACATATCATAAGTTATCGTCTCTATAGGTATAGGTAATACGAGTACATATCACACATGTCATAAACACAAGACTATTTTTTTACCACAACACTCAGCATAGTAGTAAGTGGCGTGGCGACCGCTTAAACCAATCCGCCATTCGTGCAGTCCAATTATTATTATTATGATTTTTGGTAGAAAATATATTTATACTGAAAGTTAGGAATCAATAACTTAAAAAAATAGTTCCCATGCAAACTTGCACCCTTTTTTTAAGGGTAGTTTTGAAAAAATTGTAACAACGTTTTTTATTACTATTAATAGAGTTTTTTGTGAAAAAAATGTAAGTTAGAAAACGCTACAATCAAAAATAAACAAGATTTATAAAAAATTCTAACCTCCCTTTTGCACCCTCAGGGGTAGAATGCTGAAAACTCCTTTCTTAGTGCACAGCTACGTCACCTAAAGAATGTTTGTGCAAAATTTCATGCTGCTAGACCCAGCGGTTTCAGCTGTGTGTTGACCGATCAGTCAGTGAATCAGTCTGTCAGTTTCTCCTTTTAACATGGACTTTAAGTTTACAACTCGATGTGTACTTGGATCTGACAAGATACTGTTATTTACATTACCTTGCAAAATCCAAGTACACATCAGGCTATGTTTAGTCACTATCCTCAATTAAAATACTTTTATATAAAAAGGCAAATTACAATATGCAGATTACACTGTTGTCTTCTTCTTATCTTTCTATGTCCAAATATTAATACATGTATATCCCTACTTCTTTTTTAGAGTTACTGTACACAAATAGATAACTAAATGCATGAAGTTACAGGAACGTACATTACGTATCTGTTAGTTTAAAGCTTGTACAGCATTTGGACATGTTGACAAACGGTGAAATATTATCCAACTAGGCAGGTACCATTAGCATTTATCCTTGGACCGAAATAGAAAGGATATCCGTTCGAACTGTGTGAACTTGCGTTAGATACGTCGGTTTGTATACCATATACTCATATATATATCTCAGTATTTTAGTTAACTATCTGCAACATTACATGAGTGATAATATTATTCAGTTTAGACAGGTACGTTAACGCACGTTTAGTTGGAACGCAGTAAGTACCTACTGAACGTACTAATAGAAATTTCCGGTTCAATGCAGAATTCAACTCAAGGACGCACCCAAACCACGCCCTGCTTCCGTTTTATGAGTTGGGGTAGTTTCTTGTTACCTGTAGAACAAATAACAGGAACTGTCGTTCTCTATCTCAATGAATAAAGTTCATAGCGGACACTTGAATGAATATCGTTGTGATATCATGGTTAATTAAATGGCCAATTACGATGTAAACTGTTTAAAGCGAGGTCAGACACCAAGTTCACAGAATCCCTTTCAGTTTGCAAGTAGAAAGGTATGGAACACCATGATCAAGTTGTCCCATTAACACTTCACTTTCCCTACAACCCAGAATTTAAAACATTTACTCATCTGCTCGTAAACTACATGTAATTACAAGTTAGCAGGGGTGGCTGAGTCTGTAATGAATAGTAATGATAAAGGAGAAATTTGCCACACTCCTTGATAGATCACCAACAACCAAGAATCGCTTTCACGAAAATTAACTGAAAGTCGGTCGTGTGAAATTTAAAATTTTCGAAAATATGCAATGTAGCATACCTGAGTACGTATCTCTGTCGACGAAGGCCAACCACTGTATATAGTGCCGGTTGCGCGTGCTTTCATCAAAACAGCTGCTTGTTTATAATGGCATTCGAACGAGGTGCGTTCTTGTCCAGACAACTAACCAATCCACTTTAATATTGGTTCAACAAGGGGAAAAAATCAGTCAATCTTCGAATTCAAAATTTACCATCTTTCAAGCTTTTAATATACAAGTTACTTATGTGTATCTCTGATAGTGCCTGCAATTTAAGTATACTTAAACTTATTACATATTATTTAAACTATTTTATTTATACCGACTAAGGAGATACTTAAGGTCTAAAAAAGGTATTAAAACTTGAGCTATTTTTAAAAAGTAAGTTGGTATGGCTCATTTAATTATGTTGTTGAAAATATTAAGGAGACACTAGAATAAATAAATAACCACAATTTCACTTATTATAAAAAAATGGTTTACACTTTTGACCGTATTAATTGTTATTACATTTATAATTGGGATTTGCTTGATACATGCAACATTGCGAAGAGTTCAATTTGATGGTAATCTCCGTTGCAGTAGGATACCAAACTCCAATGAATGCATGCATGCAGGTTCGAAATAAAATAAAATGAACGTAACGTAATAATGAAATGACTTGCGAGACGAGGCGGGAAGGATAGGGGGCGCGGTAGGAGCCGTTGTCGCCCCCTCTACCCGCCTCTGCACCCGCAGACCCCACAGTCAAGCGAGAGGCGACAGCTAGCCAGCTGCGCGTCTTGTTTTTCGGATTTTGCGGTGCGATTGACGTTCCTTTCATATTTTGTTTTTATTTATAAAAGTTATCCAAGTGTTTTGTACCAACTACGCGTGTGAACTTATCGCCTGTATCACTGAAATTTGACATAACCTGTGAACTTTATTTACAGTGCTGTGACTGTCATAAGTGTTTCATTACATGGATACCAGTGTCTTTTGTCTGTAAAACAGTGGATTATATGAGAGGTGGTGGTATTTAGTTGTTTAGTACGTTATTGTCAGATCTTATGTTCGTGGACCTAACAGTGTGACCAGTGATTGTAGTCGTGGCCGGTTTGCAGTGGGAAACTTTCCAAACGTGCATAAAACAGTGGGTAATGCTTTCCTAGCGAATGCGGGCCCTGCCTGCACGCATTCCATAGGGAAGCAAGTGCCGGCAATAAGTATTTTACGGTGAGTAAAGCGCGTTCAAGTTCATCGTACTTTGACCTAAAATTGTGACAACGTATGACAACGCCTCTTGACCAGCCCGGTGTCAAATGTCAAGATGTCCTATCGTGCGGTGCGTGTGAATTATAGAGGATTTAATAAGACTGCAACTGCGATAGTACTAGGAAGTTATGAATAAAACTATAGATATTTTGGAGCTCATTTTAAATTAAAGTCGGATTCGATTTATTTATTAAATATTTAATACATTTTTATTGAGGTATTAGATATATGTGATGTGCTGTTGTAAGTTTCAGTAATACTAGTACTTGAGGGACACCTCTTTTGTGTTTACACACTTTGAACCAATAAACATGAGGGTTGATTTAAAAATACAATTTATTTGTTTGGATGAATGATGAATCTGTTCCCATTTCCAAACTTGGTGGTACTTAATTTAAAGAAATAAATAATTTTATCAACTATCTAAGTTTCGTTTGCAAGTTAATTCTTTCTCCATTATGGTTGTTACTGATTTGAAATATTTGTTAGTTGGTTGTAGTCTAAGCGAAACAGTCTTTTTTTGAAAGTGCACATATTAGTCTTAGTTAATTTTCAGATTTTCGAAATGTCTGGCACAAGGCATACTCTTGTTCCAGACATTTCGTAATTCTGAAAATTATTACTTATCTGATATGGAAGAATTTTTACATATGTATGTATAGCAGAAATAAAAATAAAGATCTTAGGAGAACTAAGACTAATTCTGTTCACTTGCAAAAAAGACAGACTACAACCAACTAACAAATATTTCAAATCAGTAACAACCATAATGGAGAAAGAATTAACTTGGATTGGAAACAAAACTTGGATAGTTGATAAAATTATTTCTTTTTTCATATACATCTTTCACCTCATTAGGAGTTATATTTTAAGGAAAAATACTTTTCTGTAACCACTATCATGTATTGATAAAAGGGAAAGTCTATCATCATGTTAACTGAAAAGTAAAATTTGATTATTTACTGTAAGAGTGTGAAAAAATAATATACTTTATTATTAGTATGTATTTGAATTTTTAATTTTCTTGGTTAGATGACCAATATTTTAGGTTTTTTAAGAACTATGTTTAACATCCCAAATTGAATAAGTAATAAATATATGTATCTGGATCTCAACATAAAAAGAGTTAAACAGAAAAAAAGATAGTATGAGGAATGCCATTTATGTATCCTGAATAAGAAAGTGAAATAGCAGTAATAGTAGTATTTATTATAGCTTTATTGCTTTTCAAAATATTTGCTGTGATGATCTATGCACTTTTGTATATATTGGAACCAATTTTCATAACCCTTTTTACATTTAAAAGCCTCTTCATGGCTTAAAAATCATTGACCACATAATTTATTCTTCGGGGTGTGAAATAAATTGGAGTTGTTGGCGGCCAAGTCAGGGTTGTACGGCAGATGACCCTTTAATTCGATCTTTTGATATTCTAAATACTGAGTTGTTTCGGCGGATGTGTGGCAGCTAGCATTGTCATGATAAAGAAGGATTATGCATTGTCGGTTATTCTTTCTTATTACTTCTAAGACTTCTGGCAAACAAATGGTTGTGTACCATTCAGGATCGTAAAACGTTTACTTTTATGATCATCTAGTGGCATCTGTAGCCACATGTTCATTTACACCAAAAAAAAACTAGCGACCATTTGCTTCAAAATTCTTCTTGAACTAATGACTTTTGTTAGGTTCGGCTTATCTTGGAACACCTAACACATTTAGTTGTTGTTGTTTCAGGATCATATGCATATCTCTAAGATTGCATACCTGTGTAGAAATAATGGATTAACATTTACTTTGAAAGTTACTTTAAAATATAACTAATAGGTATTTAGTATTCTAATGTCTTTCACCTCTTCTAAATTAGTAGCCATAAACACAGAATTTATAAATTTAAATAAAGATGGCAATGTTTATTTACATTCTAATAATTATCAAGACTTGGAACATGAAATATTGAAAATTAACTACTTAACAATGTTTTTGTGCAACACACTTTTATTTCTATGGAGGAAGTGGATGTGGATAATCAAGTTCAGAATCTACTGTAAAATAAAGTTGTTATTCAGGTTATATGTGTGAATATGAGGATCACAAATAAGTTTATATGGATATCTCAAAAATGGTCAAAACAAACAGATATATAAAAAAAATGTTATAACAATGCATGCTTGAATTCACACTAGATTGTTTATGAAAGGCATTCTTGAATGGAATGCATTGTTCAGATATCTGTCCATCTTAGAATCCTCATGCTTTCATTATCTATTGTTTGTTTTGGAAACATTTAGCATTTGCTTACTAATGATTTGATCTGTTTGATGCCTAGAAGAGACATTAGTGGTTGCAAAAGTGATGTGGGTGCATCCTGAAAGGTATTCATTGTTGTCTTTAGTCCTTGTTCTGATTACTTATGCTACTCTTGCCTGACTATACTGTACTTAGTGTTAGTCTATCAGTGATTTAACAACAATATGGTTTGGTGACTAGATGCTTTAACATACACAGACCTTTGTTTATTTTGATTAGTGTCAGCACTTGAGTAGACATTTCTACTTCAGTTTTTTAATTATTTGAATGAAACCTCTTCTAGGTTTAAGTATGTAGGTCACATAAATACATGACTAAAGCAAAGTAAAGAGAAGATTCGTTTTTTCCATACTTTAATTTCAATTGGGTACTTGATTGCTGATCACATCTTGGTAGTCATCTGGTGGTTGGTAGTCATCCGTCACTTCTAACTCGTGACCATAACTAGTGACCATGTCAAAATGAATGAAGCAGTTTTACATACATCAATTGCATATATTTGCTAATACCAGAAACTGCAGAAGTGAAGTAAATAATTCTTTTCAATCTAAGCTTTACCTATAAGCTTAATAAGCTTAGTGTAAGTTTGAAGAGTCAGTCACTGTATCATAATTCTAGTGTCTGTTTTACAAAAAAACATTATGTTAAGTAAATTAAATTCTAATTTAACTAAAAAGCAAGCATTCCCATTAAAATATCTCATAGCATGGTTGACAGATTCTTACCACTATTATACATTTGGAAACAAGAAACTGATTAACTACTACTCATATTAACAAATTCTGTTTTTCATTCATTGTGTCAATGATCGCTAAACATTAATATAACATTTTTACAAATTTTATTCATATATAATTCACGATAAGTAGGTCATGGAGTTCATACTATGTTGAAATATTAATTCAGTTCAGATAAAACATTACATTGGATTTAAGCTGACTAAATCATGCCTTGGAAAACAGATCTTATTGCTGGAAATGGTCACTTGGCAGTGACCGCAAGCTATTACACTGTAAAAAGAGCAATAATATAATTATTTCCTTATGGTCCGAGGAACTTACTCATCCTAACCAATATCATAATTGCAAAAGTGGGTTTTTTTGTTTGTAGCTTGCACTTTCTGCTTTAACTACTCGACCGACCGTCGAGAAATCCCTTTTTTTAATGTTAGAGGGGGCAGACAAGCAGGCGGGTCACCTGATGGAAGGAGACTATCGCCGCCCATGAACGTCAGCAACTCAGGAGTCACAAACGCGATGCCGGTCGTTTAGGAAGAAGTACGCTTGTTGTTTTGAAGGTTTGAAGATAGTATCGGTCCGGAAATACGCCAGACGATAACTTGTTCCACAGATTGGTTGTACGAGGCAAAAAGTGTCTTGAAAGCGCACAGTAGTGGAGCGTCAATTATCCAGGTGATTGGGATGAAATATTTTGCCGTGTGGAACGATGGCGGCATTTTGCGGCTGGTATTAGTCCAAATAATTCCTCTGAGCACTCTCCGTTATAAATACGATAGAGAATGCAGAGTGACGCCACATCTATACGTAACGCCAAGGGATGGAGCCGATCGGAAATCATTGGGCTATCGACGATTCGAGTAGCTCTTCGTTAGATGCGGTCCAGAGGAAGATGCTGGTACTGCCCCTGCATAGAGATGCAAACAGTATTTTACATGCGGCCGGCGTCTTATAGCTGAGCTTCTTCGAGGCCAATTTTACCTTATCCTCTAAGTGAACCCGAAACTGGACTTTGCTCGATATATCGATGCCTAGGTTTCTGATACTGACTGACGCAGTTAGGGAGGTGCTCTCAAGCCGTGGTGATAAGACAAATGGTATCTTTTTTGCGGTGAAGGCATAAACCTGTGTCTTTTTTGGGTTAAAGTGGAATAGTCGGCCCCAAACTGAAACCTCCGCTACAGAAGTTTCAATTTCAGACACAAGTTTGTTTCGACTCTCGATGACGTTTTCCCGAGAAATATTGGGGCGGCCGGTGTAAAGGGCATCTCCCGTACTATCATCTGCATAGCAATGGATGCTACTAGTTTGCAACATGTCATTGATATGCAGAAGAAACAGTGTGGGTGATAGCACACAACCTTGCGGACACCAGCATTTACGGATTTCAAGACGGAGCATGCACCGTCAACAACAAAGCGCCTTATGCCAGACCCGATCGAAGGCCTTCGCTATGTCCAAACTAATCGCACAAGCCCTCCCTTGGTCTCGATCGCCCACCGGTGTGTTAGGAGGACGAGAAGATCACAAGCTGAGTGACCCCGGCGAAAACCATATTATCGGTCATTGAGTAGCTGGTGATCATCTAAATACCGGAGGAGCTGGCAGTTGATTATGGATTTCATAATCTTAGAGAACAAAGGAGTTATGGCTATGAAATCCATAATTGTCCTGTAGTTGGACGGGTCAGAGCGGTCACCTTTTTTAGGGATCGGGTGCACAAACGCTACCTTGGAGGAGTTCTGTCTTCAACACGAAGGAGATTCCACCGGGCCCTCTCGACTTATGTATGTCGAGGGAAAAGAGTGCTATACGCACTGTTTCTTGTGTGAACCGGATTTCCGGCATATAGCTCTGGCACCAAAATCAAGTTGGATGCAGAGTTCGCCTTAAAAAAAAGCTCTGAGAAAAAACCCAAAACAAATTTAACGTAAGCGAAACTGCGGGCACAAGTGCGGCTAGTGTTATTATGCAAAGGAAAATAACGCAATTAATTTTAAACTACACATATCTCGATTGTAGACCACCAACTTAGGTGTGTGATTCATATGTTCTTTGAATTTCAAAGCATTGTGAGGTATTACTTTCCCACAATATCTTCATGTATTAATGTATTATAATTATGATTTATGTATTAATATCGAACTTTATTCCTCATCACAGTAATACATTGAAATACCTTTTGGATTTTTATTTTTCTTAAAAATATATTATACATAACAAATCTATATATTTAAAAATGTATGTTGGTTTTTTCAAAAATTTCTGCGCCGCTTTAACTCAAATTTTAACACGATGTACAACTCGATTCAATTATTTTTACCTATTTTTTACTTTAGTTTTGTTCCTCCTTTCTCATCAATGACCACAATGTGCCAGATCGAAGTTTGGCAGTAATATAATAATAATAAAACTAATAATTTACAATAAAATATATCAATACCAGGAACTAAAAAACACCTCTGTTGTTGACTTGCTTCAAGGTAGACTTACCAATGATTAAAATTTATTCTAATCTAATGAATTTGATTTTGAATAGATTACAATAATTTACAATAATTCTTGCAGATTGTAGGGTGAGTCGTGTTTGCTTATACAGAAAGGCAAATTCATTATACAATGAAACTTGTAGAATAATTTCGGTCAGACTATCATAAAATAGTAAGTAATATATATATTTCATATAGGGCCTTATGCAGCTCTTTTATGCCTATTTTGTTGCGATTTTTGAAGCCCTTTTAGCGCAGCGGTAGAGCTTTCGACTGCCACGCGATAGGTAGTTTGTTCGCTGCCCGCTTAACGCTCATATTTATAAATCTGGTTATGTCTGAATGCATTGGTCTGACTGTTTGGTCTGTTGTTTAATCATCTTGTAGAAGTCTTAATACAAGCTCAGCTAAATTTGCGTTAAGATAGCACTGTGCAATAAATAAGTCCCAGAATATTATTATTATTTTTATGTTTAAGTAATTAAGTAACGTTATGGAACAAAATACTGAACGTAAAATAAGAACAGTGAACAAGTGAAGTTATACTGATTCAGTTGCTCTTACAGCTAAATTAGTAAAATTATATGCTGTAAATTATCGTACCTTTTAGTAAGAACATAATTTTAAAAGACGCCAGGAGAGTTGTTCTCGAACGCATTAACTTTAGGACGAAACGTCATCTGATTTGTCAGACCATAAACTCCCATAATGACACACTAATGGCACGATTAAACCTACATTTGCTTATGAAAATTTTAAATTTAACAGTCCTCAACCGTCCTTTGAAGTTACATTTTATGTATATGTAGCATGGAATAAAATGGTTTCTTTGTCATTCGGTGGATCTAATATATTGACATTTTGTCAATATATCAAGAACAAGTGATTTTTTTTTATAATGTTGTTTTCGGTACTTAGTAGGAAACTAGTAATTTAAGGAAAAGTGAAAATGGCAAGCTGATTAGAATAATTTATTTGTGTAACATTGTTTTACATAAAATATACAATACAAAAGAAAAATAAAGTTGTTTTTCACAGACCTGTGAAATTGTGTATTATAAAGTTACAGATATTTTCGGAAAGTTTTGATGTACAGTGTATCTTGAAAATATGCATTTCAATATACATTTTACATACATATAGAAGAAGTGCAGAAATAAAAAAATAATAAAATAAATAATTAGAAAAAAACTTAAGAACGACTAGATCTACTTGCGTTCTAGATATAATAAAGTGACAATTTAACTTTTTATGGTTTATATGTAAACAGTGTAAGTTCATCTTAAATTGAAATTAAAAAGGTTAAAAGTAGATGAATTATGACTCGAATTTCGATCAACAAGCGATCTCTGCTAAACCTACAAAAAGTTGCATTTTAAATAACATTAAATTGTAACTGTTCCTAAAAACATTAAATGTGGCCGCCTAAAATTAAGACTTAGATCGCGAGAACACGAAATAATAACATATTTGATGGTAACCAGCCAAAATTTGAAAATCCATTCAAATATGTTAGGCATTTTTGTTATAATTAGCTCAAAATTAGGCGTGGAACTAAAATTAAGCCAGCTAATTACATGGTAGTTTTAGATGAAGTCAGTTCTATCAGAACGAAGTCAGTTGATTTAACTTTATTCATCACTATTATTCCCCCCAATTCCGTCTGCGTGTCTTTCTTTTGTATCACAACAAAGACTAGAGAACTTGTTTTATTACGAGGACCAGTATAACTTCAGCTGTCATTGTATGGACTTTTTTGTGTACTGGACCCCTTAACTTTTATTTAACCGATTTTACTTATATAAAATCGTTTAACTTTATTCTACACTAGGCTTCGCCCGCGTGTATGTCGGTTATCGCGGTAAAAAGTAGCTTATACCCTTCCACAACACTCAAACTGTGTCCATACAAAATTTCATCTAAATGGGTTCAGCGGTTATTGATTCCCCATACAAACTTCCACCCTTCTTTTCACCCCCTTCCTTAGTGGACGATTTTTTGGATAGAAACCATCCTATGTCCTTTCCCGGGGCTCAAACTATCTCTATACCAAATTTCTTCTTTTCAAATTTCAGACACACTTTCTCATTTATAATATTAGTATGAATTAATATGGATATTCTTTATATGTTTTATCTTTTTATAATTCTTTTACATATAAACATTAAGTAGGTACTTCAAATACCATATATACTTCTGTGTCCCATATTTTTTTAAAGGGTTACAAAAGGTTTTTTTCACGTATTAATATAATTAAATAGATATACCATCAATGTATCAAAATAAATGTAAATCGTTGTGTGATTGAGTTAAGAAACTTCTTAAGTCTGTCACACAACGATTTATATATGCATCAACAATAATATAATATTACAAACGCTTCAAAAATAATATAAAATAATATTTATTATTGACTCGGTAACTACGAGTATTTGGTAAATTACTGTAAATTCAGTCAAAAGTGATATTATCAAATATCATAGAATTGAGCAAGTAGTGACTAAGAGAAACTAAATATTCCCTGTTTTGTGATGCATATTTATTATTGTTTATAGCCATTTCCTGTTATTTTCTTTTAGGTTTCATATAATGATTTCTTGTTTAGCACTTTTTTTGCCTAAGACTTGCGGATCTGTAAACAAACTCAATATTTTTGTAAATGCTCTTGATCCTTTTAGAAATATTGAAATTATGTCAAGCGTCACAGTGGAGTTACTTCCTTAACTGCCCGAAAATATTAAAGCGAGATTAGAAGGGACTTAGCGCTGTTGACATTAATTGCTCCAGTCTAATCGAGATACGTAGCTAATTGTTCTCCAGGTATGAACAGTCATACGGTTTAATTCCTTTGTTCTGAGATTAAGTAGCCAGTGACTAACACTCAACATATAAATATTAGCATAGTACGTTGCCGCCTAGAAACGCTCTTTGCAATTTACAGACCATTAAACTAATGGTAAGGTAAGCTTATCATTAGATCGTGGTTTTAATTATAATAGTCTCTTTAAAATTTAAGAAATGCGTAGAGCAAATTTAACTATAAGTGGAAAATTATGATTCCCAATGTCGGCTGAAGTAGCAGATCATGATAAATAAGTTATTCTGTTCTTCTTGCCATAAGTAGAGGCTCAAGATTTCCTTAGAAACTACCATAGTTACATAGAGTAGAAGATGTCACTAAAATGAGACTGACAGAAGAGTGCGACAAGCAAGCAGACCTACCTGGGGATCATGCTTTTTTTTCATTCTGTTGACTTATAGTTCTATAAACTGTCCACTGCCCGGCTATATGTATTACAGCACGCTGCTAGTACTTATGATAGCGGATTAGAAACCAATAATTAAACATGGCGCTGAGCAAATATTTGGTAGATCTAAACATACTACTCACTTCTTACACCAATAGCTTAGCTAAAAAAGGTACGGAAATACTAGTATCTATTGTAAAAGCTGCTATAATAGTAGACTCAAAAAAAAAACAAAGTAATAAAACGCTTGCTCCACCTCGTATGTATATTCTATCAACTTCCCACGACGGTGATTGAACTAATATTTGTTTGCTTTTAGAGTTAAATTGTGTTTACTCTATGATGGCATGGATAGCTTAGATAAAAGTTTACTTAAGTATATTTAACAGAAACCAAATGCTCTTTCGTCATTTACCCTTCGTTGTTCGTTAGATAAACTCTTTTTAGACAAAAGGGCCTCATGTTTGGATATAAATTACATTGCCAGTATATTTATGTTACAACCTTATTACCTTTTTTAATGTGTTAATATACACTCAATAAATACACTTTAATTAAACCACCAAGCCTTATTCCGCCATCCACCCTCTTCGTTCTGGACTTTACACATACTACCGTAACAGTTGAATATTGTGATGGTCTACAATACACAAGGTCTAGTCTGATACCTAGACTTACAAGCTCAGGGAGCTACTCTTGTGATACATTGGACTAATGTCGCCTATTAATTGCAAAACTTAGCTTATTATAGCGTATATGAAGATTTCTAAAACAATGCAACTTTACTGTTTTTTTTAAATCTAAACGAAACACTAAATTAAAATTCACAAGTGCCTCCACTATCATCAGCATTTTAATAAATAATATAAAATGTTCAGAACGACGATATGATTAAAAAAAGATGCAAAGCAAATACAAAACACGTATAATGTCTGATATTTATTTAAGTATTGTAATCGACGCATTTTTTTTTTAAATCCAGTTACTTGCATGCTAACTAGTGTAGCAGGTGCCATTGTTATATAACTATTACTCATGTAAATGGCAAATAATAATCATGTGTAATTACTGTGTGTGCAGAGAAACGAGCAGCGCGGGTGGCGGGGCGGCCAGCGGTGGACTGCTGGCTATGAACGCCACCCAGGTGCAATGCGAGCCCCACGACTCCGTGGTACTCATTAAATGTAAGTAACACTCCCTTATTTACCACATAAGTATATGCATACAGGTTGTTGTCTAGACACAAAATCCCAGAATAGAACAGAAAGAAAATTACTTGCAGATTTTTCTTTATTGTATTGTTCCCTGTTGCATACTTGTATTTTGTTAGCGACCAATTATTGATTGGATCAAGACCCATTTGCATTATTCACAAACAAACAATGGAAGTAATTGTAATCCAAAAACTTAAAGAGCCTTTAAAGAGGATCGTGTTCTTGCTCCATTAACTGCTGTCAAATGCTAATATAACTTTGTTGTACTGTTTAAAAATATTAATTTCTTAAATTGTTCATTAATTTTCCTAGGCTAACAAATACTGGGATATACATGCAAACCCTAGTGAGTACATTAAATTGCCTTAGTATTTTTAAGTTATCCCCGTGTGAAATTATTTATACAGTAGTAGTCTATAAATTTATTTTGTCTTAACGTGAGTAAACCTCAGTGTTTTTATATGCATTATTAGTAGATGTTGTGATGATTTAAGAGCTTATTACATGTGCGTGTAGCTGACTTATACTTTAAGATGTTCAAACGACAGAATGTCTCTCGTTTTAAACTTGAATGACAAACATTCTCCACTGGGAGTATAGTTGCCTTTCTGAATACTGTTAACATAATTAGCTAATAGTGTGTTTACCGAATTCGCAGTAACAACTTCAAAAGCGCGCTAGGATTGTTTTAGTTTTAAAATCACTTGTAAAAACGACTACAATTTTTAGACAACACTTTGAACATTAAGTTGGGTTTTAAATCAATACGTGAATATATCGATTTAATATTATATTCGTTAATAATGTTATTATCAATAGAGGAATAAAGTACTTTATTCACTAACTTTCATCATTTTTTCTGTCCTGAAAATTGTGTTTGGTTCAATCCTTTTTCATATATTATAAGTTTATACAAAGGTCCAGAATACACAGCTTAGCATAAAGTAATTTAAAACATGTAGATACGATACTAGTCAATCTAATACGATTAATCGGTAGATCGCACCCGCCATAAATTCATTGGCCTCATTGCAATATGTTGTATATTTTTGGATTGCTGTGCGCCACTGCGTCAACCGAGTTAGATTTACAGTTCGTTGGCACGACTATTCGATGGCATATTCATTTTGATTGTGCGATGTGTATTTTGTACATTAACATGTGTCATCCTGTGATCGCATCATTGTAAACATTGCCTTCGCGCTGAATTCGGGAAGCCCAAAATCGATCTAAGTGGCGTGCAATGGGAGAGGCCTATGACCAGCAGTGGACTGCGATAGGCTGATGATGAAACATTGCCTACACTCGTAATCATATATAGGAATACTACTCCGTTTTACAAATTTTGAATAACTAATGTCATAAAGCTATAAAACTGCAACCTCCTGTAAAAGGTCCTCCTTATACAATTCTGTGAAATGCACTTTTACATTCATCGCACTATTGTGTGATAGATATCAGCATCATCCTAAAATCGTATTGATTTAGTTAAGAAGTGGCTGCAGCAGCATCAGTGCAAATTAGAGCACGTAGGCTACTTTATTTTATTAAGATGCGGCGTTGTCTTATGGTGCGGAGCGAGAGTGCGTGGAAGTTATGCTTGCGAAGGAGATGACCGGCCCGCCAGGCCCGGGTACGGGCCAGGTAGCGCAGACAACTCAGGCGCCGAAGGTCGCAGTAGCGAGGTTACCTGGCTACTGGTACCAGAGACGGCGTGCGGTTTTTAGTCGGTTCGAGTCCGACATAACATCCGGCGGGTAGTATCCGAGGGGATTACCGGACAGGAAAGAAAAAAGATGTGGCGTTGTCTATTGATTATTATGTATTCCAGCTAATATAGTACGTAGAAATTTACTTTTGTCTCAGTATGTTGTGAAATTGAATTTAATAATAGAGCACGTCAACTTTTCGAATAAATAGCCAGCATGCGTTTATATAGAAAGTCTAGCATGGCGACCATACTATAGTGCGTAGTTGCATATAATACGTGTAGTTTGCAGTAACTGCCTTAGGCAGCCTTCATTTGCTGTAGAGTGCTCAGTGATGATGATTAGCGATCTCTTAATACTAATAACGATTATAAAGTGGGTTTTGCATAAGTTGCATGTACCAAGGTATCTTATATTTCAAATGGGTCGAGAGCTGGGAACCTTGTAAAAAATGTCGCGTCATGTCATAAACAAAAATCGCTGCATGCGAACTGAGCTGCGCCTAAGAGACTACCAGATCTCCTCGGGAAGAAGAATAGCCTAAGAAGAAACAGAATCATATGACCGTGAAACTCTGCTTTTTATTTAGTTCCCATCGACGCGGTATATATTAATACAGTAAATAAAAGCTAGTTTACAATGCCGCTTATTTATTCTTTTTAAGAAAAGGCCCAAATAAATGTGGTACATTACTAAAATTAATTTCTTACGTGTACAAAATTATACGCATTCACCCAAAGGATTCCATTCTTGTGAGTTACAAATTGATACAATCGTTATCAATCATTGTGTACTGAGTGATTTATCGTAACCTCTTTTCCACGTCCCACTTTTTTAAAGATCAAATCACAATGAGAGCGTTGCATCCAGATGCAAAAAAATAACGTGTTTTTTAATAGTTGATATAGGCTGCAATCCTCGACCAAATATGAAATCTAAACAGGTTCGCTGATAATAATATTGTAGAAAAGACAATACATATGGACTTGTATACAATTCTTTTTATCACACTGCACCCGAAAGAAATTATTTAAATTCGTTAAACCATGCCCATTAGACACTTCATTAGTTTTTTCTTATTTATTATGTCTCCACTCTCTCGTCTTTTTCAGTACCCCTCAGTCCACTTTTTGTAGAGTATCGAAATAAAGGGTTTCATAAATGTTTATCAAAAGATATTTAACTTGTCACAGGATATGCTAAAAAAGAGTAAAAATGTTTATCGTTAACAAATAATCATTTAATAAAAACACTACTTCAACTTTGAAACTATTCAATTAAATTGTAATTTTTTTTACGTAGTATTTTTACGCAATATGATTCTTGTTTATTTTTTTAAATAATGGCTTGTATTTAAGGCATAAAATAAGTACCAACACTTGCAATGAACGTGGAATACCGCCGCGTCTTAGCTTTAATAACTATGGGTTCGATCCCCACATGGGACGACACTTTGTGATCCACAAATTGTCGTTCTGAGTTTGGGAGTTCTTTGTGTCAGTTTCATGTATGTTTGTAAAGTCCCCCGTGACACAGGATATATTCCTAGTGCAGAAGTTGTCTTTAAAAAAAAACTACCCAAGATGGCAGGACGCTTATTTCCAGCAGTGGACTGCGATAGGCTGATGATGGTGATTATATTAGGTAGAAATAAAACATGTAAGTAATAATAAGTCTATAATATGTATGTAGATGGATAGATGATAGATAAATACTTTATTTGTACACCAGGCTTTTACAGACATAAAGTAATTAGCAACAGACGTCATGTACAAAGGGCGGCCTTATCGCTTAGTGCAATTTGTTCCAGGCAACCTTTGGATGGACTGGATTCATTTTGAACTGGTGATGGGTATACAGAAATTAGAGAAATTAAGCTATTAAATATTTATTATACATAAATCCTACTAATCTAATCTTATACATACATACATACGCTAATTTCCAACTATTAGAGACAGATAATGCTCATATAGCATAGTCTTAGGTGGTTAGGGATTGCGCACGTCTGATAGTAATCGGCAAGGCATTCCATAAACATACAGCTTCTACGGAAAATGATTTTGTGTAGAAATTGGTAGAATGCCTTGGTATTTCCAATCTCAGGCTTTCAGAGGACTTTTCATGAAGGAACTTAAAGCGTTCTTTGAGGTAAATATGAGTTAATGGATTAAACTTATTATTCAGAAGCGTAAGGAAATGACTAAGCCACCTGAGCTTTTTACGGTAGTGGGAAACGAATATTTGCGAAGACCAAATATGAATCGTATGCAAAAAAATTATAGACGCTCAAGTTTATCAAGATGTGTTTCACTGAGATCGAGATAGCTAACGTCGGCATAGTCAAGAATCGGAAGAAGGAGCGTTTGTGCAAGTGCAGTTTTAGTAGCAGTCGGAAGCAATGTTTCGTAACCTTCGCAAAGATCCCGCTGCAGCGAAGACTTTGCGGCTTACCTCCTGAATCTGAGGTCCCCATGATAAGGTGCTATCGATTATAACTCCCAAGTTTTTGACTTTGCTGCTGATCGGTATGATGGTATTGTTAAATTGAACCGGAGGCAAATGTGAAAAATTAATTTCAGCAAACACTATGGGACTCCAAATGATGCATACCTGTGATTTTGTAGTTTTTCATTTGTGTAGATATTTAGAAATATAAAAGCCCCTGTGCTGTAAATGCTTGGTTGATTGCAATAAGCTCTCCTCCTGGTGGAACTTAAAACTTATAGTCGACCAAATGTGGGCGTTTGAATCGTATTTATGTAATATTTAGTAAATAGTGCTCCTACCCATGATGCTAAATGGGGATTTACTCGAGCGTCATAGGGACCTATTCCAGTGAAAGTTTAGGGAATGGAATGGATAAAAGATATATAATGATTCCTCTTTCAACGATGGGAAAAGCTCCTAAAGGTTTTCAAAAATGTAAGCGTAGGAAATCGAAAAAAATACATTCTCGCGGTAATATCTACTTACCTTATGTCAATGTGCCGGTACAGCACTCTACCTATTTTTATTGCTTTCACACTGATAATCGCTATTTCTTATCTATGATTATGTGTTATTAAATTTATAAAAATGATAAACTAGATAATTTGAGGACTTTTTATATTTGGCTAAATAATAAAAACTTAATTATGACAACCCCAGAGAAAAGTATATGTTTATTAACGGTAACTGTCCAAATGACTGTGTGGTAATTATGTAAATATTTTAGAACGCAATCAAAGCATAGTATAATTAAATAATTCTAACAGTTAT